TTTGCATGCATGCACTTTTTTTAAAAAAAGAAATTTTGCATGCATGCACATTTTCCAATGCATTTTTTTCTCACACAATACGCCTCTCTATAAATATGTTTTGTCTCAAAAATACAAATTTCTAACACACTTTCCTTCAAAGCTCTAGCAGGATCTTATTGGCTGGGGAGAAGTGAGAGAAAAGTGATGGCTTAGTTCCAATTTCCTGAGCATCAACCCCCACCCCACCCCAAAAAAAACCCAATTACCACTGCCCCTGATTCCTTTCATTGGGAGGAAATTAATCTACATCTGTTGAAAGGTTGATATAGATCTGTTGTTGTTGTGGAGGTATTTGGAAAGCTGGGAAGGTGAACCCGAGGTTCTCATAGTGCAGCTAGACCAGCCATGGAGCTTCCTGCAAGGACACAGAGGGGTTCTGGAGTTGGATTTCACTCCCTGAATGTGGGCTTTTCTTTCTGTCTTTAGCTGAGATGATCTCAAATGCCTTATGGCATCTAGGATGCTTTCTAATAGATTTCCTGGACTGTATTCCTTGAGACTGGAGGAGACAAAATTTATACGCTATAGAGCTTGTTAGTCTCATCTCCAAATTGAATCATTGATTTTAGTCTTGTAAAATCCCATTTCTCATATTCCTGTGATACATGAACCATAAAAGGAAGGGAATCTATAGACATTCTCCAAGTTTTGGCTGGAGGATCTGAGTTCCTTCTGATACAGTCTGACAAAATGTGACCACCATGACTTCTTCATAGTCAAGTGTCCTCAGACATTATGAATTAGAAGTATACTAAATAATCAAGCTTTTAAAAAAATCATAACAGTTATTGTCCTTGATCCTTTTTAGGAATAATAAAGACTGCCTGAAATACACGAAGGAGACTTTTAAATAAGTACATACTGTGCTTGCAATAATCTTCATATTTAAGGATGTTGGTAATAATAGATGAGACAGTGTATATATCATTTTCCTAGCAAAATTAAGAACACCCTGAGGCCATACCTCAAACCTAATGGGCTCAGTGAACACAATGTGGTGCCAGTTTCCCAGCAAAAGTGCTACTTCCAGACATTAATCTGGCACAAGAAGAACTGCAAGTTATCCAGAGTTCCTAGGAAATTTCAGAGTGACCTCAGATGTTTTTGATATGTGGACAGTTGGATCGGGCTGGATCTGGGGCAATACAGTGTCAAAAAGACCCATTGCTGTTTTGCTGGAAGGATCGATGAAATTCTAAAAGATAGTAGGATATATGTATAATTTATAACATCCCCTATATTTTGCACCAATTCAAGGAAAATAATACGTTTCTTGAGAAGTTTTAAGAGTTTTCATTACTGCAAATGTGCAGAATCCAGACGCCCAAGAAATGTTCTATTTGAGATCCAGTTTTTGCTCCTTTCACTCTTTATGAATACTACAAATCTATCAAAGCCAATAATCCCAAGTGAAACACAGAATTTATTTTCTAAGTATCAAAACATGTCCAGTTTCTGATATCTCTGGATTTCTCCAAACAGTAGATATGTGTATTAAATACATATAACGGTATGGGATCTTAAATATAGCGAAAAACATCTCTCCTATTTGTATGAAGCCAGTACTTTATTTCACAACAGAGTATATTATTATTATAAATAATCTTAAACTCAAGTCCCTACAGTCATACTTTTCTTAGCACCCTGCTGAAGTGAAACACCTATGCAACTATCAATAAAGCTGGGGGTTGATGTTTGGTACCTGTTGTGAGATCAGAACCTTCAAGCATTATTGGAACTAATACATGTAGTTTCAGATCTCTGTGAAAATAGACATTCTTTTGTCATAAAAATGGCAAAATAGAGCACCATCCATACAAAAACCACGAATTACTGTCAATTTGCTAGCATTGTACAACCAGCTTTCTATCTCCACAGGGGGAAAAAGTGAAATCTTGGGTGTTTACAACAGTATGGATAGCCATCCTAACAAAGGAAAATTGCTTTCATTTTGACAAGAGCTCCAAATGCAATATTTAAAAATGAGGGGGGGGGGGGTTATTACAAGAAAGGTTACATGAAGTATTGGTCTAATTCTGTTGTGTGAAAAGCAACCAAGTTACAGTAGCACTTACTGGCTGTCAATGTTCTGTTGGAATACAGACATCTCAAGATTATTCAGAGGCTTTTCCCCTAGTTTACCTAGTTCCATAGTTTACCAATGTCAAAGTCCCCCTTGTCACCTCCAGCAAGTTTTATTTTGCTCCTTGTGATTCATTTTCTTCAGTGGTATAGCCAGATTTAATAATTGTACCCAAATCACTGTTTCTAGAGAAGTGTTAAGTGCTTCAAAACAACTCTTTGTGGAGAATGCCCAATTTTCCATTCTTTTCTTTTAGTTTCTTTTCTTTGCCTTGATGAGTAATTCCAGATCAGAAGATGGATTTCTTTAAAAATATATTGTCTTTTAATAAACTTTAAATGATTTTAACTATGTAGATAGTTGGATAATGGAATTCGAGCTGTCTTACCATTACTTAAATCAATGAATCTTGAAGGTCATGTAAGTGGTGTTCTGCATGGGTTTTGAATCTGTACTAAGTTTAATAATTTGTAAATAAGTTGAGCCCCATTATTGGGAAAAGAGCAGAATGTAAGGGAGGAGTTGCAGTATGGAATTAAGAACTGACTATAATACAGGTGAGACCTGTGTGGTCCTCAAGATGTTGGAGTACTCTGGCTTCCAGAATTCTTCACTATTGGTTGTACTGGACAGAGTTCCTGAGAACTGCAGTCTAGCAAGATCTCAAGGTCCACATCATTCTTGCCCCTGAACTAATACCTTATTTATTATCTCTGTTGTACCATCAAATCTACTGCGCATCTCAATTTTCAAAAGCCTGAAACCAAAAATAAAAATAAAAAAAGGATTTTCTGCCAAATTTAATGCACAGCAACAATAAGTGCACTCTGTAATTTGGCAAAAAAAAAGTGTGCATTACAGTTGCTGTCTGCTCCCAATTCCTTTTTTAAAAACAAAAGTGTTAGACCTCCAAAGATTCCAGTAATGGAAAATAAAACCTTTGGGGTGCATCTATTCTGTAGAATGAATCCATGTCCTGGCTGAATGCTATGGGATCATGGAGGCTATAGTATGGGATCATGGGAGATGCCAAAGAATGCTGATGCCTGACCAAACTACAAATTTCAGGATTGCATAGCATGGAGCCATGGCAATTAAATTAGGGATTATGTCCCTCAAATAAGAGCTCCAGGTGCTCCTGAAGCAGTTTCCCCTTTTGCTTTGGCTCAGCGCTAGATTACCAGATTATGTTAATCTAATGCACACCCTAATTTTAGCAAGGTCGTTTAGCCAAAAAAGGTGAGCTTTAGAATCTAGTGAATAGGGGTGGTTTACCTAGTGCGACTCGCAATGTATTCATATATACATTTCCTTAGAAATAATCCCAGTTAAATTCACTGGGACTGCAGTTTGTTTCCTAGGTAGATTTCAGGTAGCATGGGGAACACAAAATGTTGATGTCTGGATGTTTGGTTTCATAAATGGCAATGATTTTTGTTTCTGTCCTTCACTCTCCCTTCTTTCTTAAGTACTTACCATCCAGTCCAATACCACAGTTTCTTTTATCCCTTTGTGTTATAAAATACAGCACCAACAGATGTAATTCAGTTGCCATTCCCCATGTCTCTCTGTTTATCCATGCCTGTCTTTGCAGTAGTTCATTACAAGCACATTGCTGTGGACTCTCATCCCTTGTCTTTAGACTCCGCTCAATACTGTGCATATTCTTGTCCTGAGATTTATGTCTTGCATTCAGAAAAGGGCTCTTAAATCAAGCAGGCTGTTAACATCTTCAGCTCTGGGATCCTTGGAGATAAAATGCTGGTGTTCTAATAGATGATTCATGGCTGGTCTTGGAGGGAAAATAGCCTCATTTGTGCAGCAGTGTCCTCTGTGGAAAGGCAGCATGTGGCTATGATTCTTTTATTCATTGTCATTATGTGTGATAGCATATGTGTATGAGAGAAAGATGGTTAGATTTTTTTTTAGAGTTTTAAGGTTTTTGTTGCTTTTTTGAAGCACAAAACCCCTATTTGTGTCCTCTCTGCATGTGTAAGTTTTACCCAGTAGTCCAGGAATGAGTGTACTATCTTTGCCCTCCTCCCTCACGTAGCCATCTGTCCTACTTTATAAATGGCAGTCCTTTGTTTGAAGGGTTATCAAAGGAGAATTCTCTCTTTGAAGGCACCCTCTGTTTGAAAGGTTATCCAGTTATCCAACTCCAGTTTAAAGATTTTTTTTAAAGAAAAGCTTGAATGTGTGTTTTTATGTGTGCCCTCAAATCACCCCAAGAATGTGGGAGAATTTTCTTAAGCAGGCAATAATCAGAAGTGGTTTTGTCAGTTCCTTCCTCTGCAACATAGCCCACAATGCCTGGTAGAGCAGACTTGAAACTGCCATTCAGATTTAGCGTGTCAACTGATTGGTGTTCCTCACTATGGTATATACTGTGTTTTATTTCTGTTAGTACTCTTTTTCTAGAACTGCATCTATACTTGTAATAACATTGGCACATTTTACACAAGCCTGAGCCTTGTTTTTTCTTGTTGTCCTTTATATATTTCCTTACTTCTTCAGTTTAGAAGTTTGGAAAAAAGTTGAGACTTATAGGGTGTGTCTATGCTGTTGAAATAATACAGTTTGACACTATTTAAAGTGAGTATAAATGCTGGTAATGAGGATGATGAGAAACGAGTCAGTAGATACTGCACTAGGAGACTAGACAGAGCTCCTCAGTTACAAACACATCTGACTCATTACTATGGAACCTTGAGATTTGTAGTTTGGTGAGGCACCAGCACTCTGTGGCAGAGAAGGCTAAATACCTTTTAAAACTACAAATGCCATGATTCAATTATTTCTACAGGGTAGATGCATTCTGAAGTAACCTTCGTAAGTGTTCAAACTTTCAGTAATCAATAAACAAACACACGGATAGATGTGGACACTATCCCTTATTATTACACATGGAATGGAATGTTCTGAACTGCCCACCATATGTGGGCAGCATTGATACCATAGAATTAACATTGATCTCATAGAATGAGCATAGCTTAGCATTGACTAGAGGAAGTCACCGAATTTACATTACCTTCTAATTTTGGGTTTGATTTTTTTCCCTTTCCACAAAACTTTATGCATTGCATACAGAAGAGGTTTTACAAACCTAAATCCAGCCCTTTTGCTAACGGGTATTTGCGAGATAAGTTCTAACGTCTTCCTTTTTCTCATCCACACAGTTCTAATTCTTGCCATAATGCAATTTTTCAGTTTTCCTAGCTCACCAAGGTGGGTTTTGAGGATGCATGAGGAAGGGATCCAGGTGGAGGGGAAATTGCTCCTTTCAGCAGATAGAAGCAGTTCCATTTTCTGGAAGACCCTATTGGTAGCTGGGATACTTACACTGTTAATTCCATATGAGATCATTACAATTGTATTTTCCCTGTTGGCAGAGGCAGCCCTAGGTAATTTTCAACGGTAAGCAAACAGTATTTTGGCATGCCCCCCCCCCTCCAACCAATCATTGATATATATTTTCTGTTCGTCATGGGAGTTCTGTGTGCCATATTTGGTTCAATTCCATCATTGGTGGAGTTCAGAATGCTCTTTGATTTTAGGTGAACTATACATCCCAGTAACTACAACTCGCATATGTCAAGGTCTATTTTCCCCCAAGAGCGCCTCAAGAGTGCCCTTGGGCAAAATCAACTATACTGCGAATGCTTACTTTGCGTAATGGGTTGAGTCGCCCCTGCCTGTTGGGCACCTAAACTGACTTTATATATACATGTATATCTTTATGGTTCAATGCTTGGTTTACCCTGTTCTTTAATCAGAATCCATTATTCCACTAATAATCCACTCTCAGAAAATATTTAACACTCTGATGTCTGTGCATTCCTGCCGGCACATGTTCTTCCACCTCTTCGTGGTTCTGGGTTGTTACATTCTCTTGTACGTCTTCTAGATCCACCTTGGCAAGAAGTCCATGGAGCCCAACAACTCCAGGTACCATGTGCTGGACCAACTGTGACACAATAATTTCTTATTAGAAGCAAAAAAGGAAGCATCCATCCATACCTCCAGAATTTGGAATGAGGGTGGTGAGCACACAGGCTCCAAACTGTGGGCAACTACTACTTTTATCATATTTCACGACTGCTTAAATTAGCTAGGGCTGATGGGAACTGGAGACCAATTACAACCTGGAGAACAGTCTCCCTGTTTTCAATGTAAGACAAAGCAAAGAAATCATGTTTTTTCCCCCTTTTCTTAGTTGACTTTGATATGCTGGTGGGAACAGTGATAATGGCTGACTTTCAGTATTGCAGTTATGGATCCTTAACATTTAGCTACAGATCTGGAACTGTTTTCTATTCATTAAGACTATGTTGTCCTATTGTGAGGACACTGCTGCCCCAGTTGAGCAATGGAGCCCCATGCTCCCCATCATGTGATGTATCCTTATTTCTGGTGGGGCTCCATTGCTCAACTGGGGTGGCAGCATCATAGGATGCTGTGCTGCCAGCATGGGAGCCTCCACATGTTCCATTTGGAACAAATGGGTTACTGTGGGGACAAGCCACATGACAACACTTCCCCATGTGTGATGGGGGAGCATTGTTGCTGGCCCGGGATGGGCGCAATGTGCCAGGATTGCCTCGCTGGCCTGCCTATTCATCACAGAGGCTGGCGAATCGGCACAGGGGACCTCATCAATGTGATGAGATCCTAAAACTACATGAATGCCACACTAGACCACCTTAGGAGTCAACAGATACATTAGGCAAAGCAGATCCATTCAACTCCCAATTAGGGTGAAAAGAACCCAACAGTTCCTGTTTCCTACCAAGTGATGCTGTGATAATCAGAAGAAATACCCCTGCACAATATCTCAGCCCTGCTCACTGGATACATAGGTATGGGATGCATCCTCCTCCTTGCACAAGCTAGAAAGACCTCTTTTTCCCAATCCAGCTACTGGCACTTTATTTGTACTGGAAGGACAATCAAGGCAGAAAATTTTACTTAGTTACACATACATAATTATATAATGTATGTGTGTGTGTGTGTGTATAATTATAGTGCTAGAATCCTTTCAACTCCTTTTAGAATTTCTGTTATCGATGAGCTGGAAATTATTGTTGCCTAACAGAAATGAATTCCAGGAAGGTCACAAATATTAGTCTGTTTTAGATTTTTCTGTGATTTTAGGGAAAATATTTTTTAACTATTTATAGATTATTAAAAATTGAAGGTGTTTTTTAATCAATTCAGGGGGCGCTGTGCTTTTAAACTTTGAATTTGTTTTAATTGTTTTTAACTGGGATTTAAAAAATGTTTATATTTAATCCTGTTTTAATGTTTGTCTATTTGTATATTTTAAATGGTTATGCTGATTCTTTTATGTTAAGTCACTTCAGGGGAAATAAAGCAAGGTATAAATAAATATTAATATTAATAATAATAATGGTAATAATAATAATAATAATAATAATAATAATAATAATGTCTTGAAATATATATGATGAAAAATGATATAATTAAGTCTTTAAYGAAGAAAAAAGGAACAAATGTTCTTGCATCTACTTATTTTTCCTGGCCTGGTAAATTCACAGCTTGTTCTTTATWTGTAGTCATGACAGGGAGAATAAACGTTATTTCACAGTGAGGGAGYCTTTTAATTGCTTTAAGTTCTATTATTATTTTCTTTTTAATTTTTGTATAAGGCTYTAAAATTTTGAGGCCTGGAATAGGAAAAAAMGTGGGGATAATGATGATGTGGTCATCTGTATTGTAGAAGTGAGAGRGTTTAATTTGACACTTCCCTATGTGGTTTTCAAGATTATAGATTTCATATTACAATACAGCTGACTATGTTCACAAAGTGGAAGGTTGGGAAAGGCTAGTTTAGTGGAACCAAAGCAGCAATGTTGGGGCATTCTGGAAGCTGAGTTGAAACAAATAGGACTGCAATCTCCACTTAGAATAAGATAGTTGTGAACAAGGAAAACATATTTAAAGGGTCTAATAATGAGCAGGGGTAGCCAACTGTCTGGAATCAGTCCATTTTGTACGAAAACCAATAAATGATACAGGATAGAAAAACATCTTGAAAACCAGCCTGAAGTTCTACTGAATGGCTAGATGTCTAGCCTCATCCTTCATGCAGTTAGATGGATCAAACTTCACTAAAATAAATGAGTAAACATGCCCAGATTTCCTTAGGAAGAGGCTGAAGAATTTGGGCATTAATATTCAACTGACATGCTTTGGTTCTGTCTTTGCACTCTATGGCAAGATTTATGACCCTGAGACATTTGCTACCTCTAAAACCTTCTTTGCTTAACCCAGTTTACTTATAGTAATCACTTGAGCTGTTAATTTTATTTCCTTTCAGCTGCCTAGCATGTAGGCACTAGAGAGAGGTCCTGATTGATGGATAGATCTAAAGAGGTACCTATTAACAATGGCCAGGTGGTTGTACTCTGCAAATGTTTTCCTTTTGTTATTTCATCTTACCTTCCCGCATTGTAGTTTCACATGCTGGGCCACGAGCACCATTCTGGCACTCACAAATGCACTTGGTCCCAACCATCATGGCTTCAGCATTGTTATGGCATGGGCCACAGCGACAGGCATTGAAGTCAAGTAAATATTGATCCAATGCCCTTCTCAGGTTCTTCCTTTTGATTTCCATGTTGGGAAGCTGGGTTCTATGCAGTATTTCATGTATAGGTTGCAGCTGTGAAAGGGAAATAAGATTAATGGGTCATTACTGTTGTTTTTACACAAACCTATAGACTAGTTAAACATAAAATATGATGTGTATAGTAGTTTGAGCATTAGACTAGATCTTTGGAGGCTGGGGTCCAGATCCTCACTCAGCCATAGACACTAAATAGATAACCTTGAGGAAATTGTTCTCTTGGCAAAAGCAAATCCTCTCTGAACAAATATTGCCCCCCCCCCTTATGATACATTCATTGTAAGATTGCTATAAGTCAGAAATGGCTTGAATGCATAAAAGAATAATAATAACACCAACAATCTGACATAACAGAACAGCCAGTGGTAGAACCATTTCAGGTCATGGCAGGTTACCAGGTCAGAACCACATCATACCCTAAGATTACACAGTCCAATCTGGAGATTTACCAAGAAATGGGCCATCACTGGTGATACATATTTTAAGATAGATGTTAGAAGTGTAGTCCCTGGTGACATCAATAAGCATCAACCACAATTGAACAGAGCATATTCAAATCATCATCATCCAAATCTCAAAATGAGGAAAATTTGATATATGCATACTTTTAATGCTCTTGTCAAGATTCCTCACTCTCATTCTGAAGACTGGAGAAGAGCATCCAGGTCCTAAAGATCAGAAAACCCTTGCCACTGGTCATGCCGAAGTCTAACGTTAATACACATGGCTTGGACTGAGCATCAATTGCGGTTAGAACTTCAGTTCTTAAACGATGGCACAGGAATTATTTTTGTAGCTGTGTAAGGCAGAAGTGGCTGATGGGTGATCTGAAGACTTTTCCTGACATACACCAGTTCAACTGACATAACTGCCAGTTATTAACTGGGTGTATCATGCAATGTGTTATCACCACAGCTATAAGGGCACAGCCCTCCTTTGCATCCAAGGCAATGCAGACCTTAGCCAGGCTCAAAAATTGGTTATGATCATTACACTGGAATTCATTTTAATGATAAAAGTAACAAGAGAAGTTGAACCGGAGCAAGTTAAGATGCAGTTGAAATCTATGCTAATTGTGAACCTAAAGTCCTAGCCAAATATCTTCTAGGACACAAGTGTCAAATTCAAGGCCCATGCCATTTTAGGTGACCATTCAGGTACTGGACTACAACTCCTATATTCCTCATCATTACACCAGAGCTGATGGGAATTATGATACAATAACATCAGGAAGGTTGTCCTTTGCTCTGTTTTGTATGAACAGTGGGGTTTGAATGTAGATACAAAGCTTACAATGTCTCATGCTAAAATGTCCTTTAACATTTTGTCAACCTCAGAGCCACAAGTACTGCTGGGTTGTAATTCCCATTATCCTCCGTCTATAATAATAATATCTAGGGACCCAAATTGGATAAAAACCAAAGAACCTCAACTACTATGTAAAAATAATATATAGTTGGCCCTATGGATCCATGGTTCCTCCTTCCCTAGATTCAATGGCTTTTGAAGGCAACCATAAGATTGATGCTGCCCTCAATGAAAATGTTCTAGGATTTTGGGAACCATGTGTTGATAACAGGCATTAGGAAACCCCATGGTGAGTTATGCATCTTGTCTGGCAAAGTGAGTGTAGATGACATCAGAACATTGATTATGAAGATGCTTAGAAACAAGACCTAGAAGCTGCACTTCAGTAAGAATGGACTATTTCTAAGCATGTATTAGTTTTTACATTAATACTACTGCAAATGACACTCAGTGAATCTCTTGGCACGATCAAGATTATCCTGGAGAAATGGCTACCTGTGTGAAAGAAAGGCATTTCTGAACCTTTAATGAACCACTTCTGCCATGTCTTTTTGAAGACATTCAGCCATGGAAATGAACTTTTATACTGCAAGAGGCTTCTTAGGCAAGAAAATGGGTTATCGCATACAAACTACTGGCGTATTGCACAGAACAGTCTGTTTACCATGGTTTTGTTTCCTGTAATTCACAAGGACATTAGCAATTGCCACATAAAAGTTCCCACATGGCCTTGAACATTGAGGTTTTGAAACAATATTAGCACAAGACACTTTAGCAAACAACCATGTGTCAAGATAAGAGGATATCCAAGTGGACATAAGTAATTATTGGGTGCTTGAATCCACTCCAAAACCATAAGCACTAGAAGAGCTTCTGAAGCAGCCATTTAAAGGTTATAGACTTGGCCACAAGCAAGCAATAGTGGGTTTCACCCAGAATTAGTGGAGATTTGTGTAGAAAACACCCAGAAACTGCTGAGAGTCATTTCTCATTATCACAGATTAAAAACAACTCTCCTTCCCTACACCACACTATACATGCACAAATTTCCTCAAACAGGCTGCTGTTTTCCATCAGTGCTGCTTATCGCATAGGCATATTCTGCCTCTAGCTGATATTTCTTGCCATCAGCTGCCAAGTCAGAAATCTGATTTACTTTTAGTCAAATGGGAACCAAAAAAGCTTCCTTTCTTTTTATAAAGGCTGTGTTAGAAGATCTCCTCCTTTTTTCCTGAGAGTGACACAGAACTTCAAGGATGAGAAGGTCTTCAGACTGTAAAGAGCACCCTGCTATGAGCCACATCCCCAAACAATCTCTCTTGTAAAAAGCAGCAGCATACTTACAGAAGAGGCAAGAAATGTAGAGGAACTAAAAGGGCAATACCTGAGAATCACTGCCTCTTGCTATCTTTTAGCCCTGTTCTTCTCTCCCTCTACCCATTTGTGGAGTACTACCCACTAATACAAAATTTATGGAGATTCAAGTAATTCAAGTTTGTTGGTTGTTGACTAAAGTGCAGCAGCCTTTAAGTATGAAAAAGTGGTGGACTATGACTCCGCAGAGCAAAGTTTGAATGCTGGCTAGGTTGTGAAACTCATGGGGTGACCTTATGCAAATCACACTCTGAACTTCAGAGGAAAGCAATGGCAAATCTCTTCTGAATAAATCTTACGAAGAAAACTCCATGTTGGAAATGACATGAAGGCACACAACAGCAACAACAACATATGTCGGTGTTTCATTTTTGCATCTTCCCACTGTTTATATCGTTTCTTCTACAGAGCTGTGTTGGTGGTCTTTAATAATACAAATACTTCCTTTCAAAAGGACAACCTTTAAAGCTTTTTTTCGACAAGCCCATTGCTATGATGTGATGAATTCAAAATTCAGTGTTAAGAGTTAGACTCTGAATTGTTTCTTTTTTGCTTTGAAGTCATTACTTTTTTAAAAAAAACTATTATTTCATTGTGAAATGGAGAGAAGGTCAGCAGATCAGTGGCCCATTACATTTAATCCTGTTCTAAGATGAAATCACAATACAAATATAAAATGATCTGGTCTAGTACACTTTCAATCCTTTAGAGATGTGGACTTTCTACAACTGAAAGAAACAGCTTACCTCAAAATCAATAACAGCAGGATTAAGTTTTAATGACCTCCCCCAGTAACGGTATGCATTAGCACTGGAGCCTTCCATGATCCTGCCAATTGATGCTGTGTCTCCACCTCGAACCCGGGAAATAATATCCTCTATAACTGATTCGGCACTTTTTTTGTCTGGGAAGTTGGACAATGGAATAGATTAGTGTTCAGTTCTAAGAATTCATTAGTTCTGTCAAAATCCGTTCATCAAGGTGACTCTGGGGAGGGTACTTGCCAGAAACAGCTATTCCAAGAATATTGCCTCACTGAGACTAATACTGGAAAGTCAGCAAAGGAAATTTTAATGCTGTCTTTGTGCTTGTGGGTCTAGTTAAGAAGGTGAGAGTAACAACAACAACAACAACAACAACAACAACAACAACATATTGTCAGAGGTTTTCACAACCAGAGGCACTGGGATCACAACCCAGAAACCACGCAGCAGTAGCAGAAGCAACAACAACAACAACAATACCATTACATTCATAACCCTTTCATCTCAAGGTTTAAAACTACATTAGAAATCCATTCACAACTTAAACTTTGTAATAAATACTATATGATGATGATAATCAGGTCTGTAGCCAAGGGGGGGGGGGAGGTGGTTAACAGTTCAACACCCACCCCCACCCCACCTCGGTTCAGGTGTCAGGTTAAAAAAAACTGATTTACTCATGCATTGGTTTTAAACCTGACACATTGGGGGGGGGGGGTTGAACCCATAAACCCACTCTCTGGCTATGGCCATTATGATGATGATTATTATTATATGAATAAAGATTATGTACACAAATAGGAAACCATTGTGAAAGCTCAGCTCAGAGGCTGACCTATAAGCCAACATTGCTCTCTCTTTCTCTCTCAAATGTTAGTGGATGAAATGCAAATTTAATCATACTGAATTTACAATGCTACATTTTAAAATAGATAGGGCATGAGTTAATCTGGCAAGGAGTAGGCCCAACCATTATTCATTATTTCATCAAATAGTATATACAAAGTTAACTTATTCTCAATTACAACTATACAAGGAAGCAAACCAAATATAATATGTACATACATACATGTCTCTTTCCTTTGTTCTCTATTTCTTTGTTTTTACTCTCACTTCCAGCTTTATTAATACAACTAGCTGCCACATGTTGAATATCCAGTCATTACATGCTTTTGCATTAGGACTAGAATAATTAAACAGGAACCCACTGATATTGTTCATTCGTTCAGTCGTCTCCGACTCTTCGTGACCGCATGGACCAGCCCACGCCAGAGCTCCCTGTCGGCCGTTACCACCCCCAGCTCCCTCAAGGTCAGTCCAGTCACTTCAAGGATGCCGTCCATCCATCTTGCCCTTGGTCGGCCCCTCTTCCTTTTGCCTTCCACTTTCCCCAGCATAATTGTCTTCTCTAGGCTTTCCTGTCTCCTCATGATGTGGCCAAAGTACTTCAATTTTGTCTCTAGTATCTTTCCCTCCAGTGAGCAGTCGGGCTTTATTTCCTGGAGGATGGACTGGTTGGATCTTCTCGCAGTCCAAGGCACTCTCAGAACTTTCCTCCAACACCACAGCTCAAAAGCATCGATCTTCCTTCGCTCAGCCTTCCCTAAGGTCCAGCTCTCACCTCCGTAGGTGACTACAGGGAATACCATGGCTTTGACTAGGCGGATCTTTGTTGCCAGTCTGATGTCTCTACTCTTTACTATTTTATCAAGATTGGACATTGCTCTCCTCCCAAGAAGTAAGCGTCTGATATAGCATACTTAAAATGATACCCACTGATATAGCATATTTAAAATGATATCCTCATCAGAAGATCCAGACGACAGAGTCCAGCGACTCCTGAGACTGTCTCTTGTCAGCTCTGATTGGTTTTGTAGAGCTGAGCAACTTGAACTCCTCCAGAAGTTCTGTCATTGCAACTCCTATCAGACCAATTCAGAACTGGTAAAGGGATGAGGGGTGCTGCAGTTCAGCAATATCTAGAGGGCTTAGAATTGGCCCTCCCTACATGTTAGTAAGACAGATATCTGCACATGAATGACTAAGTGAGTGCATTCAAGCAATGCTGTGGTGATCCCATCCTTACTTTCCCTTTTAATATGAACTGCAAATATTTGATCAGTAGTCAATGCAATTAGCAGCAGAAGCAGATTAACTCTTGTTTATAGACTACTTCTGCTATAAATTCACCAGGCCTCCATGGGCAAATCCCTATCTTGCAGCCTCAGCTTGCCATCGCCAGTGTGGATATGATATTTATCTTTCTGGCTTTCCAAAGAAGAATTAATGTCCAAATGTGCATGTTCACAGCTGCCATGAATATGTGTACATAGCCATGAAAGAAACCCAACAACACAGTCAATTGTTTCTATTGGTTATTGGATATGAAAGGGGTTCTTAATCTAGTCTCTCTGGTCCCTGTCTCCCCTGTTGTGACATATCTAACCTAGCTACATGCAAAATTAGATATCTGACAACATCAGAGTATGTCTGAGGAAGCTTGGCTCTGATTAATATCATTGCTAAGTGAATAGAAAGAATGATTGCTTTGGCCTTACATCTTGCCCATTTCAAGGAATGTCTTCTTCCATGGGGTGGAATTGAAATACATTGCAATAGCAGTCTGGATGATCAATATGCAAACCAATCCTGTTGCTCCTTAGAGACTGGGACATGAAGCTTATGTTATCTCAATCTATAAGGCACTAGAACAGTGGTTTTCAACCTGTGGGTCCCCAGGCCTAAAACTCCCAGAAATCCAAGCCAGTTTATCAGCTGTTAGGATTTCTGGGAGTTGAAGGCCAAAACATAAGGTTGAGAACCACTGACTTAGAAGATCCCTTTGTGTACCGATCATCTGCAGTTCAGCACATACACACCAACCTCACTAACCCTGGCATTTAGGATCTTCCAATGAAGCTGTGTGCTTGATTTCATGTTATGGGAACCAGAGTCTTTTCTGCTGAAACTATAACACCATAGAACTCTCTCCTTAGATGCTCATTTCACTTTTTTCCTGCTAGCCGCTCTTAGGCAAATTTTGTTTTCAATTGTTCCTTGAAAGTTCAGCAATGTTGTGTTGCTTTTTTTACTTTCATTCTCATTCTTATGCTGTTGTACAGTTTGCTCATTTTTGTTGCCGCTGATTTTTGGAGTTCCCTTTTGCTGCATGTTTTTAATGTTACTTCTTATGATTTTAATTTTATAACTTGCTACTATGCTTTTCCCTTTGCAGAGTGGTCAGCAGCAAAATATTATAAGATTAAATTCTTCTATTCAACATGCCTGCTGATCATAGTCATTGGGCTGTGTTCTTTCCTCTTTCCCTATCCATTTCATTCTATTCCTCTCTGTTTGGGCATTGCTTTAATTGTACAGTGAACACTGCGTTGCTTGCTCCAGTGATTTTAAATATTTTATTTCTCTATCAATGTCTTTAGCCAGTTCACACTATCCTCGAGACATTTTTAGAAGTGTTTCTCTGCCTGACATAATAAATAACCTATCTCGATAATAAGATGGTTATTGCTACCTGTTATATACCACCCTCCTACTTTTATTTGAACCGTCTCTGTTCCATTTGTCCATTCATTTTTATTAGCAGGGTTCCTTCATTCCTGGCCAGTCAATTTTCTATGCCATTAATTTGTAGGAACGTTTTGATGGTACACTAATAACTTCAGGGTTTTTTAGGAATTTTTTTTTAAAGGATGGGAAAATCCTCAGAGTAACTTTGAGGCAAACTGGGACAGATTACCGTAAAGACCAATATATTTTTCATACTTCAAAAATGATGTGTTGTTATTCATTGCTTAAGATCATTGAGTAACATACAAACATCCAACCTACAAATGACTCACAGGAAGTGGGAGAAATCATCTCCTTGGAGGGAAAATTTACAGGGGAAAGGTGTCTCAACTGAAACTTTCTCATCAATCCTTGTTTCCACAATAAGCCATTTTTTTCAAAATTTAATTGTCACGGGGACAGAGAGTGAGGTGAAATCTTCTGAACAGGGGCACAGACCACAAAACAAACACCACATAGGTGTTAACCCCTATGCTGTCTGAAACTTGCATATGTGTTTGTTTGTGTGTGTGCATGTATGCATGTATGTGTGTGGCTAGAGTTACACTTAAAAATGTACCTATTCCAACTTACATACAAACTCAACTAAAAAAACCCCCTACAGAACCAATCTTGTTCGTAACTTGATGACTGGCTGTAGATGATTGTTAATGTGTTGCTTTTAATTGTAAACACAATGTATTTCTCTTGCTAATAGGTTACTTCTTGATTGGATTAATATAATGATAAACCAGTGAGAAATGTTGGGAGCTACAACAGAATAATATCAAGATCATGACTTCTTAAACTTTCCCACTCAGGATCCCTTTTGGCCCGTGATCCCAAGTATAGAAACTATATAAAAATAAAACATTTGCTGACAACAAAACAACATTTTCAAGGTTTCCTAAACAGGCTGATTTTCCTTCTAATGAAGTACAACTGAAGCCTCTTTTTCAGAATCCACTGTAAACACTGTAAAATAGATTTGTGGAAATATCTGATACAGACATTAAGGAGTTCATCACACAGGTAGGAAGGAAGTGGGGGAAAGCATTGGGAAGAGGGTGGCCAGCCATCCCACTACTTTCCCTTTCTTCTTCCCACTTCCCCCTGCTTTCTGGAATCAGGAGTCTGATAACACCCATCTCCTGAAAACTGCAGCAGTTTGCTTTTTCTTGTGCCTAGAAGCAGGCCCGTAGCCAGGATTTCAATTCGGGGGGGGGGGGGGGGCTGAATTTTTTTCAGGGGGGGTTCGGGGGGGCTGAGTTTCAGGGGGGGCTGAGTCTGAGTGAAAGAGGGTCTAGCCTAGCAAACCTTTTGTATCATTACCCCAATACCCCCATGCATATGGGATATATTGAGTATGGTGATCAGATCATGATATGAATAAACATAACAGTTTAAATAATGCACCAGTAAGGCCTTTTCGCGAACCACCATGAGAATTTTGGGAGGGGCTGAAGCCCCTCAACCCCCCCCCCCCCGGCTACATGCCTGCCTAGAAGGAAGGACAAACTAATGCCCCTCCTTTTTTCTCCTCCCTTTGGATTTCATGGAGGAAAAACATAGCTGAGGTAAATAACGGAAGTAAACTGGGGACAAAAGGGGTGTGTGGAAAGATAAGACAGAAACTTGAAAAATTAAAGGCAAATGAAAAAGTGGAATGAGAGTGTATTAATTAGGTTCATCCTTTCCAAAGTGGGACAGTTGGAGGATATACACTGGTAAGAGATTGCATTACAATTGTCTGGAAATGTTTTCTACCTTTGTTTTGGCTTGCTTCCTTACTACAGAAATCAGGTGATAGCTTGGCACCTGCATCAACATTTGGCGCTGGAGTAATTGTCAAACCTATTGATAGTCCAAAACACTGGTTCACTGTGTTGCTATTCATTTCTGTGGAAAGAAAAAGGAAACGTTGAAAAAAAAACAGATTTATATTTAAGTATCATACAGAATGTGGAATCCAGAAACTCACAGCCAACATTACTACTGATAATGCAGCATCCAGGCAACTTCACCAACACCAGTGGAATATTATAGGCTAAATGTATACATCCCATTTCTGGACTTTTTCTGCAGTCAGCTTCAAGAAAGATTTATAAGTAGTTTAGGAAGTAGTTTAGGATCTGCAAAAGTTCCTCCCTATTAATTTTGGCCACTTAAAATACAACTTAAGCAAGTGCCCAGAACTTTACAATGAATGCCTCAAGATATTGACACACTGATTGAAGAATTTGACCTGTGGTGTAGAAAATGGTAAAAGATTGCACCTGCAAGAAAACCATCAAATGACCTGGAAGCATATCTTGTTTGGAATAGACAGTTTTTTCCTAATGTAAAGAAACTTTTCAGATTTCTGCAATATTGCCAGTGTCAACAGCTACAAATGAAATGTCATTTGAACACATACATAAGAAGCACAATGGGGAAAGAAAGACGGATTGAACTTGCACTCTTGAGTGTCCACCGAAGTTTATCCATGGAGCCTGATTGCAGTCAAAGTGTATTGAAAGTGTGTCAAAGAGGAAGTTTTCAAGTGTTTCCATCAGACATTGTGGTATTTGTTTGTAACCATAAATTACCAATTAAGAGTCATTTTCAGATTATTTAAGACTTGAAACTTTGTAATTAAAATACAAAATTGATTTAATTAAGTCTATATAAAATATAGAATGAATCATATAATTTAAAGTGTTTTGTGTTATGGGCCTACTCTTCATGATTCATTTAAAAAATGTTTCAACCACCCCTCCTCCCCAAAAGAATTCTGGCTATGGGCCTGCTAAAAATATATTGAATTCCGAATCATCCCAAAATAAATAGAAACAGATGTTCCCCACCATGAACGCTAGCCTAGGTTTCTGTAGATTCCAATGGAAAAGTAATCTGAGAGAGGGTCCCAGCAGATTCTGTGAAATATTATCCAGTGTTTTGACACATAGCAGATCCCAAGCTTCACTCTCAGCTTGAAATTTTGCCCTTTTGAGTCTCTGAAGTCTACATGTTCTCCACTGAGCAGTGTTTGGTGAAATGTACATGGCAAGCAACTTGTTTGAAGTAATTAGACATTAGATCTCCTTTTTCAAGTTGACTGCTCCCAATAAAAGTTACTTCACCACAACTAATAGAACTAACTCTTTAAATTGATACATTTATATTAATTTACTCCCCACTGACAATCCATTGATAAATCCAATAGTATCCAATTGCTTGTACTTAACTATCCCATGAATGTTAACACCACAATCGAGTGAAATTTATTTACTGTAAGCAAAAGAAATGAGTGCTTTCTCCCACATAAAATTGAAGTTGAATTATAGTTGATTAACTGATATATGATTGTGCCTGTTAAGTAATTATTTTTCAACAAGGGCTTGTCAATAGAATTTGTTAGTGGTGCCACAAGCAGGTTTCAGGTGGCTCAGTGTTTGAACAATGGCACATGATGGAAGCAGCAAAATGATGACTGCACAAAATATCGGTGACCTGAAAAAGGAACCAACAAGATTACTTATCATCTGATGTAATTCCAAGAAGCTAAATATGGTCAAACATGGATTTTTGCTCCTATTTTTAAACCATTAATCATCACTTGTGATTGTCAAAAATGTCTCCAAACAAAGGGTATATACAGTAATGTATGTACAGTATAAATCTCTGTGGTCATAGCTCAACCTTATTGTACACACATACATGCAAAAGCACTGGAGAACTCATGACCAAATCCTCCAGTGCCATTAATTCATCAGTTTGAATTGCTCAGTGCCCTAGAAATATCTTTGCTCTTTGAACTATTTTTTATCTTTGATAGGAATGAAGTATGGTGCTTCTAAAACTTTGCCAGGGAGGCTTAGTGGTATAATTCTCCCTAGAAACAGCTTCTAGAAGTGATTCCTTGGATTCAGATAAATTTAGTTATATAATACTTTGCTCTTTTTATTTGAAAAGCAGTTGACAATTTTTTAGCTTCTCTGTTTCGTTCTTTAATAAACACATTGGATTGGAAACTGCATCGACCTGTTTTTTCCCCTCATACTTTTCTTCACCCATCAGTTAGTTGCAGAACTTAGAAGGTTACTTGGAACAAGAATGATTCTAATGATGAGAAGAAGCACTCCATGCCAGAACATTAGCATTATGCTGCTGGGTTAGCCAGTGCAGTGTTCTGCCAATAGGTCAGCTTTGGTGTCTTTCTGGATTCTCAATATCTGCAGGGGCGGCTCAACCCATTATGCAAAGTAAGCATTTGCAGTATAGTTGATTTTGCCCAGGGGCGATCTTGAGGCACTCTTGTGGGAAAATAGACCTTGACATATGCGAGTTGTAGTTACTGGGATGTATAGTTCACCTACAATCAAAGAGCATTCTGAACTCCACCAATGATGGAATTGAACCAAATATGGCACACAGAACTCCAACGACGAACAGAAAATATATATCAATGATTGGTTGGGGGGGGGGGGGGATACTGTTTGCTTACCATTGAAAATTACCTAGGGCCACCCTCTGCATATCTGGCACAATAACTTTTACTACACATGCAAAGGGATCTTGTAGTACCTTATAGACTAACTGAGAGGACAAAATTGGTAACATATGATTTCATAAACATCAAGCTCATCTACACATAGCACATAACTGGAGCCAATCTGGAGTATGAATACTCTGGACTGTCCCCACTCATATCCATCTTGCAGCTGCGGCAGAACACAGTCCATGCAGTCTTGCAAGGCCAATAATGGCTTGGTCTCTGGTTCATCACCCTATTTTACAACCCACCTTCCTCCTCTCTGGTTTGTAGCCAACTTTGCTGATATCAGCAATGGCTAGGAGTTCTAGGCCATCTACTGCAGTGATGGGGATGGGGCAACAAAGACCTTTGCAGAACCAGGAAAAGAGGATGGAGTTACTAGCCAGTGTGGCAGCTGACTGCTTTGGATTTGAACTGTTTGTGCTGTCCCCACCCTAAAATGTGGGGCTGCTCTCGAATGTCTACAAAACTCTGGAGCATCCCCCTACCTTTGCTTAATGTGCAGTTGAACCAACTTAAATTACTTGACCCTGGGTTAAGGACTGTTCATTAACCCGAAGAGCAGACAAGAACATAGGAGTGGTGGCAGTTATGACCTTCTTTCCTGATACCACTAGTAACCAGAGCTCAGAAAAGATTTTCTGAATTAAAACTCCTGGAATCTTCTGACCATATTGCCCATGCTGGCTGAGCTGTTCTGGCAGTGCAAAATCTTTATTAATCTTTGTTTAACATTTTCTATTATGAAGTAAGTTGAATTATACTTATTCCAGGGCATCTGGGCATAGGAGTATAGTTCCAATGCTGCAAGTAGGTATAACTGACTGCCTATGCAAACCTCAGCAGCTATGCCTCTTATCTGATTTTGTAGTATTTTATTCGACTATCCATGCTGGATATCATCAGTATTCTTAGGGAAAAAAACCAAATAAACCCATAATTTTGGTGAAAACATTTGCTTTCATATTCTGGCAGTAGTTAAACAAATGGCTGACATTCATTGAGCCCCAGATTGGCTTCTCCTTCTTCAACATAGTACTTAACCATAGCCCTGGCTTGATAAATGTGTCCTCTTTTTATGGTCTGTGCTGTGGATGAAAATTATGCAAGTATCCTACATAAAAATGAAAATTATCTCTCTTCAGGGACACATTTTTTGTCTGTTTAAGAACTTCAGCTTCTTCCCTCGTTCTAACAGGGTTGCCTTTGTTGTGATAAATCACATAATTTCTGAAATATGGTAAGCAAAGTATAAAGTAAAAATGATGTCTGTGTCTAGATGTTGCTGATTCATTCTTCCTCTTCACTTGGCAGTTTGCTTCCTGAATCCTTTTTAGGCAAGATTGTCCCTTTATAATTCAGATTCTGTATCCAGGAAAGATATCCTCCCATAAAGATTAAAGAAAAATACGTTAATAGCCTGATCCTGCAGTTACTATTCATACTCCAGATTGGCTCCTGGGCTGGGATTTTAGCCTAGCAAAAAAATGTAACCATCTGTTTTCATGGCCACAACAACTCAAAAAACTTACTGCTATGATTTCCATCATGCAAGTCTTTGCACAAATACATTATATTTTATGTGTGGCTGGGAGTGGTAGTAGATAGGAGGAAGGCATTTCCAGCTTTCTGTATGAATCAAATAAACCCAGATACGTGTGTGCATTCAAATGCACAGTTAAATCAGAATATATTCTTTGGTATACCTTGGTACATCCATATCCATAATCTGTTGTATGTGTTTCAGGTTCAGGGCCATTTGACCCAATTTGTAGTCTAATAAGACAATTCTCTACCCAATTATGGGACTTTTGTCCCTATAGGAAACAGCTCCCTGGAAAATTTGTTAAGCAGAGAATAGCAACCTTGATAAATAGGCCTTTCAACCAATGACCAGGTCATAAACAGTGCTGGTAATAATAAGTATTACTGAGGGCTCTTGTCTGAATAGGAGATGCAAAAAGAAAGTCTAGATATGAGAACATCCCAAGGTACTATACAACCCAAACCAAGAAAACCTGATAATGATTTTGATAGGGATTTCCAAGATTTAAATTTAGAGAAACTACCAGATTTGTGGAAAAATGCATGATGTCTTGAAGATTAAACATGTATATTTAAAGATGTATAATTCAATATCACAGAGAGTCCATAGTTGCTAACAGTTGCACGGGGCTGCATACATTGGCTATACAAACTTCATATTTGAAACTGTGAAAACGATGTTGAAAGAGGTTGTACAGATTTGTATAGGAAGGTTTTTTTTTCTGTGAAACCAAGCAGCTAATCCACCTGACTTTATACATTTGATAGGTGGTTATCATGTTGTTGGTATAAAAATACCTATTGTAAAGGAATAATTCCCATTTGGCTCATCAGAAAAATAATACCTCCAAGATCTCACTACCAATCCCTTTTAATATGATATTTTCGTTTGAGTTAACTTCAGAATCAATGCCTCATTGATTACACAATATCAGGAGTTGCCTGATCTTTCCATCCTCTCTACATTCTGGTGCACTCATTATGAGGCTCTCCTCCAAACTGTCATCCCAGCATAGCTATTGTAGAAGTCAATGAGCTAGGCAAGGAAGATCTCTACCACCACGATCTAGGGTCTTCTTGCATAAAAGCAGCAGCAATGGTTCACTTGCCCTGTACACTTGCTCTGTTACACTCCGATCTTTGAGCATGCCCCTGTTGTGGCTTTCAGGTAGGTGAAGGACTGGCAAGAAATGAGGGTAACCACCAAGTGTGTTCTAATAGCTGTCATATACAATGCAGTCCTCCTCCCAGGCCTCCTATAGGCTCTCTCAGAGTTCCAGAAGATGCCATTTTCATTGTGCATGTATTTTGGATCTTAGCCAGTGAAGAACCCCTTCACTCAATCTCCTTCTGCATCCCATAATGTGCTTGGTGGGTAGGGGGTGGGATTTGAACTGAGAAAGCAGGAATCCTCACCACTCCATTTGAAAACCCAGGGGAAAATCATAAAGGAGCTTTAGGAGGATTTTTCTCATTGGGCTTTTCAGTACAAAAAGAATCCTTATATTTCGTTGGTCTAATTTGTTCATTGACTGAGTAAAGAATAATCAAGATGATTTGCTGCACCAGTATAGAAATGACAGCTGACATCTTGACCAAGCCTTTATCGAGTGAATGCTTGGAGAACCTGCAACTCAAGATAGCATTTCAGCGGGCCCATGCATGGTTCAGAAAGAGGTGTCAGTGATAACATACTGTGCCTGCCTATAGTCACCAACTCCTATTGTACAGGTTTATAGTCTTCCTGTTTCCTTGCAGACATTTACTGTCTTCCTAAATCACTCTAACCTCCAACAATCGCTTTATCTTTTCTTTCCCTGTCACAAGTCCCTGTGCCTAACTATTTACTAATATTTATAAGTAAATCTGCTTCAAAGAAGACTAAACCTGTTTCTATCTGTGCTAGACCCTGCACAGGGTATGGGACTGGTTGTTATTCACTATCAGGCCAATTTGATTATGCAGCTGAAGTGATCCACAACTACTGACCTCATCAAATGGTTGCAGGAACTGGTCAGTTTTGTAGAGGGATGTAGGGAATCTGCCACCCCATTTCCCACATCACTTGGCTCCAGCCAAGGGCAATCAGATGTGGGGAAGCATGAGTGTGCATTATATGTGCAGCTCCCCCCTTCCCCAAGATTTCTATAGCAATACAGGAGCAGTGGCATGTGCCGGTTTCACCCTCCTTCACCCACGGAGCCACACAAGCATCATCTGATGGGAGCCAGCTGGATCCATAGATGACCTGGGTTAAAATTGGCACATGCTGCCGATTAAGTAAGCAACTTCTCTCCGCTGCAGTCAGGCTGTTCCAGTCTCCTCCACCAGCAACCTTCGGAGCCAACTGGGTTAACTCCGGTTCTGGATCAGCTAACAGGTCTGGATCGATAGCAAATTCTAGTCATCTGCTAGTTCTTCAGTGACTACAGGGCCCATAACCTTTTGTCAGAGTATTGAAGCTTTGCCAGCGGAAGGATTGCTAGATCAACAGACACTGTGTTCAAATATCAGGGCTCTGCAAGCTTTTAGTTACAACAGAAAACTAAGTTTACTAAGTACATCTATACACGTCTATTCACAGCAAGCTTCAGACAGGAGCTACTAGGCACAAACAGTCTCTCAACATCTGCTTATCTGACTTCTGGCTGAGACCAGATCCTCCCTTTTCTTCCCAGCCAGAGAACATGTTATCTCATTTCTGTCAAGGTTACAGTTTCACAGCCTCAGCACTGTGTTTTCTTATACACAATAGAACAGAATAGAGTCCATCTTGAAATACATCTTAATCCATCTTGAGTTACATAGAAACACATTGAAAAACACACATACATATCTAAATAATCCTGACACCCAACTCATTACAACAGATTGCAACCTTTTGCTGGTCAATATGCTTGATGTGGGTTTATGGGTTTTACTGGAGAATTAGATTTTAATGCCCTCATAGGTAGAGTAAATGAAATATGCATACCTGCTTTTTCCATTTTGTCTTTGTTAATCACAAGGATGTATTCAAAGACACCTCCCATGGTTCCAGATGTCATGAAATGGGTGCCGTAAGTATTAATAAAATTAGCATACATTCCATAGTTGTATTGATCTGGAAGCTCCATCAGAACCTGAAGCATGTCTTCATCTAGAAATATATTGTCTCGTCTCATCTTGAAACGGGCTGTTTGTACCTTGGTAAGAGCTCGCAGAAATACCAAATTCTGCAAACAAAAATAATCCTGCTTTTTGTTCCATTGTGACAAAGCAAACCTGTATATTTCTGAGCAATCTAGGTTACTTCATCAGGATGCACTTAGAGCAGCATACTGGATTGAAATGTCAGACAAACCTGACCACCAACACATCATCCTTTGTGACTATTCGCTGGGCTTCACAGCTATAATTTTGTGCTATTTTAGGACATTTCCTTTAGGATGGCCTCATGGAAAAGGAGAAAGAGACACCCCACCCCACCCTTTTTTAAAAATGTCACAGGGCCAATGAACATATGGGAACTGGCCTGGGAAACCGACATGATATGACATCAATCATCTGAAGTCCATCCATCATAAAAACCTAGATGAGAAACCTACCTCAGTGTAGATTGTATGCAGGAGACAAATAGTCACACACACCCCAAAATGTGCCTGTCATTAACAAATTACTCATTGGTTCAACAAAAAAACCAAACATGTATCGCTATTAAACCCATGCACATGTACAAACACATATCATCTCCCCCCCCCCCAAGACAATTGTTGTTGCTGAACAATTACTTATGTCCCATCATCCTATTCTCAGGAGTGCTCATTGGAGGGAAGGATATTAGAGGCAAAGATAAAATACTTTGGCCACATCAGGAGAAGACAGGAAAGCTTGGTGAAGACAATTATGCTGGGGAAAATGGAAGGAAAAAGAAAGAGGGGGCAATGAAGGGCAAGATGGATGGATGGTATCCTTGAAGTGACTGGCTTGACTCTGAAGGAGCTGGGCATGGTGATGCAGGGAGCTTTGGCATGGGTGGTCCATGAGGTCAAAAACAGAAGCGACTGAATGAATAAACACTTATATCTAATGTCACTATAAAAGAGGATGTGCTGGTATGGCACTCATTGTTTTGCATAATAATTCAATTTCATTTCCACCATGATCCTACTGTTTGCTTCAATGTAATACAGAAAACAAACAGAATTTCTAATCACCACAAATGTGCAATTACATGAACTAATTAAGCTATGATTATTATTGAATCAATGGGGAAATGTGGGCAAGAGAAATAGAACCAATTCCATTTTGGAGTGAACTGAGTGTTCAACAAAAATAAGAATATGAATTGAGAACAGTGTCTTTTTTCATTACCTTTGAGGCATAGTCTGTAGTATTTCTGAGGGTTCCCTTTCCACGTGATAAGCGAAACCCTAATTCCAAACTAAGAGCGGGATCTACAGGCCCTATGCCAACGGTTAAACCAGCATTCCAAGACGAGTCCCGTTTAATTGCATTCAGTAAGTCCTTGGCATTATCAAAATACTCTGTAGAAAAACCAGAATCAGCATGTGCCTGAAATAAAAGGGGAGCAAATTACAATGAGCATTTCACATTTGTTGGCATTAGAGACACGGGACCCTTTCCTACACCAAAAGTGAGGAAACACAAACAGAAAACTGTGTTTCTTTTCATCTTGAGATAACATCTCTCTAATCATCTCTATGTATTCCAGAGTGGTTCTGTGTTGTAGCCTCAAATGTCAGGTCACTTTGTGATTACAAATGATGTTGAGTTTCGTAAAATTTGGAGTGAAGACTAAAAAGCCATTCTGTGGTCAGCTTCCAGTGGATCACTGGTACAAAACACACCCAGGTAACACATTTGTACCAATGAAAGTAACAAAAATATTACAGTTACATTGAAAAGGGAGTCAGGCTATTCCACTTCATATTATAGCTGTAATATAACTTATTGTGGCCTAGTTGTTGCAAAATGAAATTAATCACAAGTAATGTATTCTTTGTTAGAAATCATTTCCAGGTTCTGAGTTGACCATATATTAAAAGGGTACAACTGACACATACAAATGTCAACCCTAGCACCATTTGGGAGCCAGAGACCCTACAGTCAAGATTTTGGAGGCCCTGAAGCCTGAAAATCAATAGATGTCTGAAATAGTTTGGAATTGGGGTTTGAGTCCCCCCTCGGGGGTTGAGAAGGATGGGATAGAAATATTTGAAATTATAAATAAATAAAGAGAACCAATATCATTTGTTTTAGACATTTGCCACATCAATGGACAATTCTTCAAGAACTCTACAGTTCATACATTGACACCAGCAATATGCAAAGCTTGTAATCTTGGAGTCAAAAGTGCTAAAGTGCTAAAGACAATAAAATGTTCTTTCAAGGCTGCTCAGTTTATAGTTGAGAAAGTGCAGCCTACGAGAAAGCAAAACCCATGGGCAACGCCCAAATAACTCCTCCTTAAACCCCCTCTCCAGCATACTCCCCAAAATTCCCCTTCCCAAAATCAACCACAGCTTATAAATACTTACTAGAAATTGATAGAAGTGAACATTGTATGGCTTTCGAAAATATTTCTCATCATCCCCATAGTACAGTTTATCACACACAGGATCATACTTCTCTTCTCGCCATTCTCCATTATAGACAGATTCACATTGGCCCCCATAGTATGTAGGATCATACACTATGTCAGCTCCTTCTTGTGTAAGGATATTGTAACTTTAATAAAGAGACACATGAACAGGCATGTAAATAAGGTCAGCTGCTTTTGTGAAATATGCAATCAGCCTCTCAGCTTTCCAAAAATGGTTTTTCTTAGGGAAATTCTGCAAGTCAGCAGAAATCAACACCTCAAGAGATGAATGCTGTGGGATTAATGTGAAACTTTATTTTATGCAAAAGAGGAGGACTTTTTAGTTAGATCAAAATGGGAATATACTGTCTCTATTACCCCAAACCGAAATACATTAAAAGGCATGTAATCTTTTAAGGTTGATCAAATTCTTTCTCAGGAAGATCATTAGAAAACACAGTCTTCTGGAGAGAAGAATGCAGAGTATTTTACTATTTGCTATCCCCACTTCCCCACCAAAAGAGATAATAAGCTGGGTTTCTTTCTGGAAATGCTTAAAGGTGGGGGCTCATAAGGCTCTCTTTGATGACAAATCTGCATCCTTTACTCACTTAGCTAGGACTAATCCTAACAGAATCCAATAGAACTTTTGTGTGTGTGTACTTAAACATTTCATCCGGTTTTTTTGGTCAAGAAAAACCCAGTGATTCTGTTACTTTCTTCCTCTGAAATGTAGCCTACAGCACATGATATTTTACTGTTTAGGATATATAGAGAACATGTATAGCCTCAAATGTCAGGTCACTTTGTGATTACAAATGATGTTGAGTTTTGTAAAATTTGGAGTAAAGACTAAAAACCCATTCTGATTTGGAAAATTGTTGTTGGAAGAACTTGAGCTATTCTTCAGATCTGCAAATGCAATGCTCATTATATTAGAGTATCTTTATTTATTTTAAGGAAATGTCATGGTAAGAGGCAAATATAAATTAATTCTGCTTTTTAAAATATTTCCAAAGGGAGAACATCCTTTTGTGTTTTGGTGTAATCTAAAATCATTTGAATTTGACAGTTTTCATTCATTTCTGGTGCAACCCCATGCACACTTACCTAGGAATAAATTACACTGAGGATTTACGTTTGAATAAATATACAGTTGCTATCTTAAGGCTCCTAAACTGCCATGTTAAACCTTAAAACAAAAGAGCCACCGTGACAGTAAGGTCTGCACTAGAGTAATACTTTTATTAAGTCAACAAAGAAACCTTAATATTGATGAAAACTTTTCATATCTAATTAGTCAAAATGTTTCAGAAAGTATTATGTTGGAAAGCAGAAAAGAGTTGTCCTTAGAGCTCTGCTGTTCACATGGACCACTGACAGGTAATGAAGAAGGAAGGATCTGCAGAGACTCCAAAAGAGCTGTGTACTGATCTTATGGTATTAGATTTCACCTGGAGTAGCCCCTAAGCATACTAGGAGTAGGAAAAGACAGAAAAGTTAGTTTTGAAAATACAAACTTCTTAGCTAAACTATATCCTGGGTGAAGTTTATGGTTTTCTTTATCAGTGGAAAACAGAGTAACTAGGCAGCATTTATATTGAAAAGGCTAGGGATAATTTTAGATGCTGGATTTGATAAGGAAAGTCAATAGAAGCCAACTTGGGTATCTTTACCTAGAGCAGTGGTTCTCAACCTATGAGTACCCAGATGTTTTGGCCTTCAGCTCTCCAAAATCCTAACAGCTGGAAAACTGGCTGGGATTTTTGGGAGGGGTAGGCAAAAACACCTGGGGAGCCACAGGTTGAGAACCACTGACCTAGAGGTTGGAGCAGATGAAACCTTAGAGAATGAAGTCTCAGTTTCAGACTTCTTTTTCCTGAGCAAACAAATTATATATTTAAGTGACCTCTAAGTCCTATAAACAGGTCACCTTAGGTCTGCACCTTAATCTTTTATTTTCATTTGAACGTTTTCTTTGAAAACAGAACTACTTTTTGTGTGACTTTAAAATAATAACAAAATAAACTTCAACAGAGAACCTTAGACAGAAAAAAATGAAATACACAGCTATAGGATGGATGGCACTTGGCTTGGAAATGGCACATGTGAAAGGGATCTAGTAGTCTTAGGATCTCTTCTCATGGGACATTTTTGCTCTCTGTTGCTGCTTTTAATTGCAGCAAAGATGGGGTCTGCCATGTGCCATCATACGATGCATGGTAGTCCCCTCCCACATTCTTCCCAAAGTGGAGGTGAAGCGCTGAAGGGTGCTTTCTCCTCCACTATGGGGAGGAAAGTGAAGTTGGAGTAGCACCAATGGAGCTACCCACACTTTCCTTTTTCCCATGTGAAGGCAGAAAGGGCGGCAGGGTAATGCTTATTGCCATCCTTTCTACCATCTGATGAGGGGAGGGAAAGGGTGCCAAAGCACCCATCAAAACATTAGGAAGAACTTCATGCTACTAAAACCTGTTCAGCAGTGGAATACACTGCCTTGGAGTGTGGTTGAGTCTCCTTTTCTGGAGGTTTTAAATCCAAGGTTGGATGGTCATCAGTCTGGAGTGCTTTGATTGTGCTTTTCCTGCATAACAGGGAGTTAGATTGAATGACCCTTGTGGTCTCTTCCAACTCTATGACTATAAACATCATTTCAAATGCTACTTCTAGTGTACTTTTAAATGGATCACCATAAATACCAGGATTAGGGATGTGATTCTTCACTGTTTCCTCTCAAATGTAGCAACAAGTAATTTCAGTAATTTTCTTCCCACTATGAAAAAGTCTTTGGAAATCACAGTTTCAAAGATTGTTTGCAATTTTGGACTTATTGAGTGCAACATTTGTCTGTGATTGTTTTATGCAGATAACAGCATGTTTTGTATGGAAAACAATGTTTCAGGGGGTTGGACTCAATGGCCCATGTGGTCTCTTCCAAGTCTATGATTCTATGATTCTAAGTCCTGAACTGTTAAGAGTATCATCAGTCCAGGATTTTCTTTCCTTTAAGGTTTCTCACAACACAAAAACATGTTCCTGAACCATTTAAAAAATTATTTTCAATTATTCTTTCCATTCCTAGCCTGGATTGACTAGAAGTGAAGTCTTCAGCCAATGTATGAACTATGGTGGTGTAGAAGTAATGGAGATGGTGTAGTGGCAGAAGAAAGGTAAACGTGGGGTTAAATTAGGCAAAACCACCTCTGGCAGGTGATTACAATGCATTCCCAGGTTTTAAGTTTCTCGGGAGCTGAGCAGTTGGTTTATCTTCTAATGGTGACAGCTTTCCTGCCACCACCTTGTTTTTGTTTGTTTGTTTTTCTTTGGTTTTTTGCTACATAGTGTTTGAAAAATTACTTACAGTGACCAAACTGAGGCTATTGTACTATAACATGAGAAGAGATAAATCATTGGAAAGGATAACACTGCTTAGTAGAAAGTAGCAAGAAAATTAAAAAAAACCTGTCCTACAAATAAATTAATTTAAAAAAGGAAGCCGACATGATCTGCAAGAAGATGTCAAGGGCTCATGGAGGACTTTTCTTCATTGCTTTTATTGCTAATTTCCATCCAGTCCACTTTGATTTATGAAAACCTTATGAATGAAAGATCTCCAAGTCAATACAGTCACCATAAGTTGAAGCCAACTTGACAGAAAAGAACAACAATAGCAAGACTCTTAAGCCAGTGTGATCCACCAGCAGGATCTCAGTCTTAGAGTCAAATCTCCCCCCCTTTCAAATATAGTACAACTCCTTGTTCATTAATTCAACATTCTTTGTATTACTTACCCATGGTTGATTATCAAATTCACCTCAGCCTGTGAAGTATTTATGGGCTTTTCTGCATCCTCAAAAGTGATTCTATGGTATGCTTCTGGCTCAAATGTATTCAAAATATAGGGTTCACCATTATCTACAATTTCAGTTATCCTTGGGGGGCCTTAGAAACATATCCGTCATTGATATAGGGGGTACTGTACTTGTATGTCACTGCAACCTGTGTGTTATCCTCAACATTAAATGATTTATATTTGCATTGCTGTACTCTTAAAATTATTGTAAAAAAGCATAATTTGTTAGATATTTTAGAGGAGTTAGAAAATGTAATATGAGCCTTTCTATGTCTTGGATATAATAATGGTCTTCATGTTTTGTTTTTTTTTTTTAAAAAACCATCTTTTTAAGTCTAAGTATAATTAGAAAAATCAGATCTTCTTACAAACTTTTGTCCAAAAGAATGTATTATTTGAATCAACCTTACGATTATACACTTGAAGAATCTGTGTACATCCAGAAATGCTTTCATTTGTTTTTGTTTTTTGTTTTGGGGGTTTTTGTTTGTTTTTTGCTTTCTTATTGTTGGTGCCAACTCCATAGATATGAATGAGGGGAAGGTAACTCATCTGTTGTGGTATTCATGCAATTCTCCTGCTTCTACCATTTGATTAACATTGTCCATATTAGCCTAGTTTGGCAACCAGAAAGGAATGATATTCCTCATGTTTAAGCCCAAAGAATCAGGCTATGAGGGAGATATCTGTAACTCACCCTTGTGCTAGTCTTCTAACACCGGGGATTGGATCGATGTCATCACAGAATGTTTCAGCATCTTCACAATCAGTCTCATCTGACCCATCCCTACAATCTGGTTCTCCATTGCATACAAGATGGCGTTTAATGCAGCGACCTATGGTGAAGGTGTTGATTACTTTTTTGGTATTTATTTCTAGGTTCTAATGAGATAAGGTCTAATGAAGTCAGGTGAAAGTTAATAGTGCTTTAAACAAATCCATACAGACAATTTGAGACAGATTTTCCATGTTGTTGCTCTGGTTGTGCTTTTATCATCTTTAGAGAGAGAGAGAGGTATTTATGGAGGTAATTCTGAGAGGAATATCTTGATGACAAAAGTGTCTTACTGTGTATAGTGTGACAGTACTTTTGCTCTTCGGGTGTTGCACACATGTATTGTATACAAAGTGATGAACCATGTCTTTCTCTGCCTCCATCCCCCATAAAAACCCAACATATTCTTTTAATTGAAGCCTTTTAAAGTGCTAGGGAAAACCAAACAACACTTCTGTAGCAATATGACTACAGAAGAAAGCTCAGAGCTTAACGGATCTTGTTCTGTAACTTGTTCACTCTGCCTGTCAGGGATCTTCACCTGGACCCTGGCTGATGGTCAAGCAGTTCATTTAGTTGCCAAGCATCAATCAGCATGCAATAAATATTAACCTGTCTGGGAAGTGCGTAGAAAAGGTTGGGACAACACTTCCCTTTCCCAATCAAACAAGAACAGCATGAACAAACTTTTGAAGGATCTACCTGAACGGTGGATTTTCAGGAAGAGTTCTTCAGACACATCTGATAGCACACCCCAATGTCATTTTCCTAAACCAATGTGCACAAAAAGATCCCAGCCCTTTAAAAAATGTTGGCACCAATAGGAGAGGAAGCATTTGGGTTCTGGTTAAATGGCAAATTGTTTTGGGAAACAGTGTCATGTCTCATTGTCCAAATGCCAAGGTCAAAAAACCTTACGTCTTATCTCTTCAGATACTAGTGGTCTACAAATCTGTAGAATAGAATGCAAATGTATTGTTCAAATTGTGTCCACAAAGTTCGTTGCAAGGGTTCTGAAATATTGTCTTTTGACTGCTACTGCAGTACAACTGGAAAACCTTTATTTGGGCAACCTTTCAGATCTAAATAATGGATTATGAATATATTATCTGCCTATTCCCGTCAAGTTCACTTTGTCAACACTGCCACAATCCGTTACGATCCATGTGTATTGTCTTAAAGGCAGTAATTGACCTAAAAGTCGCTGCTTCTATGTTTTGGGGAAACAAAGCCCATCAACATACAGAATAGTTCAGCATCATGGATTTCCAAAAGGTGTTTGGAGAAGTTTACTTCAGTATCATTTCTACAGTAGGAATACTCATCTTTCCACTTAGAAACAGTTTCCCATCTTCTCAGACTGAATGTGTTAGTGTTCTGATGCAGAAAGTGTCCTTGAAAAAGGGTGAGAAATCTTTACCGGTGACTTCCATTCAAACTCAGATGTAAAAGCACACAATCAATAATGTTCCTGTACTCCCCAAGGGTAACAAAGAAGCTACTCGGTACTAAAGTTTTTCCGTATCTGTAATGCAGGGTCAGCTTATGTGAGTCTGACCCTCATAAACAATAAAGTGAAAATTATTTCACTTTTTACTTTTGAAAGTATTATATTGCTTAACAAAAGGAATTTTGTCAAGATGTTGTACCTTAAAGCCATACTTAAAAAAAACCACACACACACAATGTGAAATGCCCATGCTATTAATAAATAAAACAGAGCTGTGTCTGTTATTTTTTATTACATAAAAGTAACTTTGAGGACCCTGGATCCAGATCAGAACTGCAGTCTGCGGGAAAAGACATTTAATACTTCCCTGCTGTTGGATGTTACCTCCTACAAACCCATGATTAGGGATTTGAGAAATTATAACTAACAAACATCTGAAGAGCCAAAGTTGGAAACCACTAATCTAATGCAAGTATGTACTCTTTATTTTGATGACCTTGGAGCAAAGGTTAAAGCAAATTCAATGGGGTAATGTGCCCAAAGAATACATTAAGACCCCATAAATTGCATACATTGCTCTCTACATGAGGCTGCCTTTGAAAACTTCTCAGAAGCTCCAATTAGTCCAGCGGTCGATGGTGAGGTTGTTAACTGGAGCTTCGTACAGGGAGCGTACACTCCTCTGTTGCGCCAGCTCCACCGACTGCCAATTATCTTCCAGGCACAATTCAAAGTGCTGGTTTTAACCTTTAAAGTCTTGAATGGTTCTGGCCCAGATTACCTGGCCGAATCTCCTGCTATGAACCATCACAAAGCTTAAGATCATCAGGAGAGGCCCTGCTCTCTATCCCACCACTCTCGCAAACGCGGTTGGTGGGGACTAGAAACAGGGCCTTCTCAGCAGTGGTCCCCCGTCTGTGGAACTCTCTCCCTAAGGGCATCAGGTTGGCCACCTCCCTCCTGTCCTTTAGAAGACAACTGAAAACCTAGCTCTGGGGCCAGACATTCGATTAGAGGCCAATGGCAACAGGAAAAGGAACTTTGGATTTTGCGACATGGATTCTCCTGGCTCAGCTTTGTTTTTTCTGGCACATTAATCTATTAATTTATTGTTAAATTTTACTGATGATGTACAATGTTTTAAAATGATTTTATTGTGAACTGTAATTTTTATAGCATTTATGCTGTTAGCATCCTCTGATGCTCATGTGAGGCCACGCTGAGTCCCCTTGTGGGGAGAAGGGCAGGATATAAATAGATGAAATAAATAAATAAATAAATAAATACAGATTCAAGGTTTGACTTACTTATGCCCAGGGGAAATTGTGTCTCCAGGAATTTGCTAGGTCCTCCAGGCAATTCTATGGACTGCTTCACCCAGAAGTTAACAGAGTTGTGTTGGAAGAACTAGTAAATTCCTAAATGATACATTTCTGGGAATCTTCAGGACCCCCAACACAACTCAATGGTCTTCTGAAATCAGGACTCAAGTAATTTAGTGGTTCAGGTAACCATGGTCCAGCTGGAAACAAAGCCCTTACAGATACAGGGCTTTTACTGTACTCTTTTTCAAAAATCAAATTCAAGAATGGCTATCCTGCTATGTACAATGTAGCCTCATTTCACTTATTTCTCATGAAGTGAATGTGTAAATGTGCTCAAATTTCTGATCAAGACATTTTGTAACTTGAAACACAGTCTAAATGGTCTCTTCCCCAGTTCAAATCAATACCTTATGAAGTTTTGTAGCAGAACTTGCCTGCCCCTATACATTTCCCTTAAACGTTGAAGAGGCATTCCTTTCTTGAGCTTTGAAGAGGTTTGTTTGGGCTCCAATGCGGTTTCCCCTTGGACCATTACTAAACCATACACTTAATTTGCCAAAATATGGAACTGGCCCTCTAATAAGGAATCTCACACATGTGAACAAAGTGTTCCCTTGTTCTGAAACTTCTTGAGGACCCCAAGCACTTGAATTTACAATTGAATGCAGGATTTGTATCCAGGATTTTTCCTCCCATATTCATTTTATTCATTCTTGAATATCTAAGGAGAGTTACAGCAACATATTTTAGTTTTGTTGTACAAAGTGCCCTTCCTATGGGTGATACTCTACTGTAAGAGCTTGATGGTGTAGTGTATCTATAATGGAGTCATACTCACCACTGTCTTTACACTTAAAATCACTGCCACAATTTTGACTCATAGTACATGTTCCTGTTGGTTCACATGCCACTTTATCCCAAAGACTGCCAATGCACATGTTCCCTTCATATTTGGATGGTTGCAGCAAAGTTCTGTATCTGTACTAAAACATCCATTGGGGGGGGGGATTACAAGGTGTCATGAATTATACATCTATACTGATAAAACATTGAATTAAAAATTAAGAGGCCACAAAACATATCTATACAATAATTTAACCTAGTAAGAGGAAACATTAAATATTTAGGCATTAAAACTGTAAAACAAATTAAGCCTTTATCAAAAGAGTAAAAATTACTTAAAGTGCGGCTTGAAGCATGCTGTGATGAAATGTGGGGGTTGAAATTTTAGTTATGTAGCAGTAGCAAAACTACAATGAAGGTTAGTCTACAGCAATGGTTCTCAAACTGTGCTCCTCCAGGTGTTTTGGATGTCAGCTCCCAGAAATCCCAGCTAGTTCACCATCTGTTAGGAATTGTGGCAAAACAATTCCAAAACATTTGGAGGAGCACAGTTTAAGAAACACTAGCCTACAGGACTTTTTCAAGTCCTTCAGAATATTTAAACACCTTAAAGAGAAAGTAGCTTCTTAATAATTGGCCCATTACTGGAACACTTTGATACTGCCTTTATGTATACAAATCTCTTAAAGACACAATGGCCTCATTCATTCCTTTCAGAGAATTGGGCAAGTCTGTCTGTATATTCACATTGCTCGTATGCCTGTAATCCAGCAGAATTCTCATAATATTCTTAAACTGGATTTATGGTTTGTTTTATGGATGAACCTATAAACCACAATTCAAGTTGGACTAGAATCCAGTAGATGTCTAATGCATGCAGGTGAGGACTACACTGGTGTAACTACTGTGGGAGTGTTGTGAAAGTGGTGACCAATACATCCTTGTACAAGAGACACACATACACATAGTACACTTCCATAATACCATTAAGATCTTGGCCTTGAAGTTTAGGCTCAGAGATTTCAATGGGTTTAAGAGAAGTAACCTATACTTGTCTTCCATTGCTGGCACAATCATTCTCTCTGATGCACATGTCTACCCTTGTTGAAGGAAGAAATTAAGAATACAAAAAGTTTACAGCCTTACTTTTTTGTCTTGACAAGGAAAGCATTCAGTCCATTCTGACCACCGGCTTAGCTGACAGCTAATTGGTACAGGTGCTCCAGATTGCCTTCTAAGTCTAAAAAATAATCAGAAATAACTTTTCCATAAAGCATACTCGGTATTTCAATAATACAATCGGCCAGTGTAGAGAATCCGTCAGAAAGATTCATGGTTCAACATGGTGTACAGCAATTTCCTTTGTGTGGAATTGTGGTGCTTTCATTGGAATACTACTTTCCTTTGATTGGGTAGTTCCATCTCAGAGCAGATTTGGGGAGGGACTTAATCCATATGTTTCTTGATAAAAAAATAAATTTTATTTATTTTTAAAATGCTTATTAAATAAATAACCTCTGAGTGAGGTTATTTAGAAACAGCTGCTGAACACACAGTGAAGATGTAGAAGGAAGGATAGGAACACAACAAGAAGTCTAGCCACATTCAATCAAGCATTTATCTAGGCTTGGGTAACCACGGAAAAATTTGGTTCTAAACTCGTTTTGTTTTTAGGGGGCCCTTGCGTTTCATTTTTTTTAATAATTCCGAAATTTTCCTTTTAAAAATTTCGAAATATACGAAATTTCGTATAATTACGAATCGATTCGTTAATGGCGGACGCGATTGCGCAATATGCAAAAAAACCCTCCAAATGGGACAGGGGGAACTTCTGAAGCTTCCCTCTCCCTCTGTTGTTGACTGTTGGTGTGATAAAACAAACAACAACTATAAAACTTGCACCAAACATGCGAAAATAATTGCAAAATAATTACAAAATAATTACAAAATAATTATGAAATAAATTGAAAAAATTGTTTCGAATCTAATTTACTCCTCACACTATTCCTGCATGGCTCAATATTGGATCGTAAGCTAATTTAAATACGAATTAATAACGAATTACGAAATTAACGAATGAAACCGCCCAAGCCTAATTTATACAGCCACTACAACCAAATCCAGAAATATTGAAAACAAGCTGATGCAATGTGTCAAAATGAAATGTGATAAACCTGTTGATTTTCTTGTTTCTAGTTCTGTGAAAACCATTGGATCTGAACAGGAGAAGTTTCATTAAGCGTTTATAGAAGACAGGCATCTAATTGTCTGGAAATTCTCAATACTTTCTAGGTGAAGAGAGTGCTGGAACTAGAAACTAAGAGGCTGGGTTTAGCTTTCTCCCCTTTTATCATGTTGTTTTAGCATGCTTCTTAAATGGCTAAATGGAGCTTATTAGGAGTACACTCTGCAATTTTTGTTATATATGTTTTAATCGTATTCTGTTTTTTATTAGTATTTTTATTACATTTCCATTCCATTTCATTTCAAAATATCCTATCTATAATTCATGTATCTATTTCTTCTCATTTCCCCCATTGTGCTCCTCATCTCTGGAGCCCTTCTTTTCTTCATAGTCCCACCAGAAATTCATTTCTTCCGATGAGGGTTGCTTCCCATCTTCTTTTCTCAATTTTTTCCCCAATATTTTTCCCATATGATTTCAAAGTTGTTATTTTTTTCCATAATTCCTTATACCATTCTTCTGTCTTAATTTCTACCCCTCCTCCTTTCCAGTTTTTTTTTTTTTTTGCTATTAATAGCCTTGTTGCTGTTAACAACATCATTATCAAATTCTTTTCATTTTCTTTCCAATCATCTGTATGGTATGAAGATAGCAATATAATTGCTGGATTTCTATTATTTTTTTTAATTCATAATGCTTTCTGTCTCTATTATAACTTTTCCCCCTATTCAAATGTTGGAGGGGTTGCCAAGAAATGGGAATGTATATTCACATGTGGTGGCAATGTAAATAAGAACAGAGGTTCTGGGGAGAAGTTATACACTGCAATTCTAAGGTACAGTAAGGATCTTTGTAAATGATGGAGTGAAAATATATAGGTCAGAGGTAAGACCCGGCATTCCATAACTTCATATGACCACAATACATGCAACCATTATGTGAAGGGTGGTGCAGGTATTTGCTTATTTTTGGCCCCATCGTAAAGAGCTTGGTGTGGATAAATGCCAGCAGCTATGTTGGTAGTGAAGGTTCCATCAACTGGAAAGCCATCCTTCTTTGTATAATTTCACAAAGTAAATTTGCATTTATCAATTGAGACATGGCATGACTTCAGGCAATTCAGCACTTTCAAGATTTTATGAACAGTAGAGCATGTCAGTTTTCAGATGTTAATGGCCAACAACTACCCAAAAACATCTGTAGGGTTAAACATCCACCAGCCCTGTTTTATTGCTTTCCAAAAATATGGTGAGCTAGAGATCCACAAAACTGGATGAGTAATGAACACTTGTGTAAATCAAAATCTTACCCAGTGCAAGACTATATTCACTTTAGATAGGATGAGTGAAAGTGCGATGACATGATATGCCTCTTTCAAAAGTGGCGTGATAAATACATATTTTTTAAAATATATATTTGAAAGGTTGCTGAAAGAGCATGGACCACAAACAGAGCAAGAAGTGAGCCTGATAGTCAAGCTGAGAATCTAAATGAAGTTTGTGAACAGTAGTTTGAGTAGAGATTTCCTCAGGGACAGAAAGCACTTTGTAATATCTATTCAGCCAAGAACACCAGGTCAAGCTGTGCTTTTTTCAATGATTCAACAGTATTGAACACATTTTGCTGCTATTCAAGTTTGCAGTTACTGGGAGTTTTTTTAACTTTTCTTTCTCCACTAAAAATGAAAATTAAAAAATTACATCCCATGATTACTAAGCATATTCATTCAGTTATTTTTGGTCTTGGAGGGGGAGGAGGTTACCCTACAACCCCTCAGTCTTTAAAGTTGCCTTTCTCAGCATATCTAAGGAATCCTCCAAGATTACTGATACTTCTGTTTTGTGCAAATAGTGCCATTTTGGTTACCTAAGCTAACACTACTTATCTTTGAACACTGTAAATAGAGGGAATGATAAGGATTGGAAGTCTAAAATAAATGCTCTTGTTCTACTTTGGAAACTGAATACATCAACACTTTTACAAAGTTTGCCATACTCTTCCTTTCCTGGTGAAGCAGGAATTTGGCAAAGTGTAGCCTGCGTGGCCCCTAAGCTGTCTTTTTGTAGTCTCAATGCCTCCAGTTTCCCCAGTGTCCTCTTCCAACCTACAATAATATATTAATTTCTATTCCTCCTCTGTACTTTGTTTCATCAACTCCACTCCTATTCCTCAAAACAAAATACAGAGTGGAAGGTGAATCATTTTTGCTTTATTCATTGCCCAGGGGAATGAACAATAATGTTAGCAATTTTCTTCCTACTAGAATAAAGTTTCCAAAAACTATGTCTCTTTTGAAGAATATTCACAGCTTGAGACATATTATATACAAAATTCATATGTAATATTATTGTGTGAAAAAAATCTGAGTAGGAAATATCATTTTCTGCACAGCACATGCTGAAATTGGGGACTGATTATGCAGGGGATCTCCACAGAATGAAGAATTTCAATTTGGCTTCTTAGAATTTGCTAACTCTTGAGAAATGCACTCTTGACCTTTTTTTCTCAATATTTTAATATATTTTCCATCCCTGTGCTAAAGAAAATAGAAGGGTTAGCTAGCTTTCAGAAGCCAGTAAATATGATTACAGTTGCCCGGGTGACTATATGACAGAAACCTTGTACCTTTAATAATTAACTGCTCTTGGAAAAAGAGCATAAAGTTTGAGGCTTCTCTATTGCCCCACCACTCTCTAGCAGAAACCAAAGCGCTATGTGGGGGTGGGGAGTAGAGCAACTAAAATTTGAGTCGAGAGGCTAGAAAAAAGATTTTAGGTAGCTCCACCTGACGAATCTTTATGCTACATCTTCCTTTTCTGAGATCCATTTACTAAAAGTACAGGGGTCATGTCTTGTATTGACCTCCTTATGAGTCAGACCATTTGTCATGTGGATATATTTTCCATTGCAACTTCTTGTTTTTGTGTGCCTTTGAATCATTTCCAACTGGTGGCAATGGAAAGACAACCGTATCATGGGGTTTCCTGGGACTAAGAGTGTACAGATCTCCCATAGTCACTCAGTAGGCTTTGATGGTCAAATAAGGAATCTAACCCTGAGCTCTGGAGTTGTAGTCCAATGCTCAAATAACTATACCATGCTAACTCTCACCCACCACAACCACCACTGCCTTAAGAGAAAGCATTTGCATATTTGTAATAGAGATCACTACATGTGAATAGATTTCTGCATATCAGTTGTCTATCTGTGGGTCTATGAGGTATATAAATAAATATGGATTTGACTGTAAGCAATGTCATGGAAGGATGGAAGAAAAGACGACTCAATGGTGTTAGGGAAAGGAGCAGTTAAACAACCTGAAGCAGGGTGGAAAGATGCCAAAAATCAGAAGGTTATAATCAAATCTAGTTTTTGGCTTCCCTCTCAGCACCCAAGTGCCAAGATAATGGCATTTCTGAGTGCACAAGCATCGCATTATAATATCAAAATAGAATTAAACAACATTAATTCCCATTTAGAAAATACTTTGGGACATGTAGGTGAGATTAACAACTATGTACACACCTGGCTTTCTGTTTCAAGAAGTGAATTGAATCTTTACCATTTGCCCTACCTGAAATCAAAACTAATTCCTAACAGCAGGCTGTGATGGGATTAATGATCATGAAAGCGATATTGCTTCCCTTTCTACATACTCAGTTTAACTGGGAAAAAACCAAAATATAAACATTATTTAAATGAAATGTACATAGATGGCCGTTCATCACAATACCGGTGTGTTGTGTACAATGAGTTTTGCTTAATATGCAGCTACTGGTGGACTTCATTAGAGGCTTTTATGAAGAGGTTTGTTGTTGTTCATTCATTCAGTCGTCTCCGACTCTTCGTGACCTCATGGACCAGCCCACGCCAGAGCTCCCTGTCGGCCGTTACCACCCCCAGCTCCATCAAGGTCAGTCCAGTCACTTCAAGGATGCCATCCATCCATCTTGCCCTTGGTCGGCCCCTCTTCCTTTTGCCTTCCACTTTCCCCAGCATAATTGTCTTCTCTAGGCTTTCCTGTCTCCTCATGATGTGGCCAAAGTACTTCAATT